AGCAAAAACTAAAATTTGAAATCAGCTTGGAGAGGTACTTTTTTAATCAGGGCCTCTGGGATATGGAGATTCTGTTAGGGCAGAACTACTAGCTGCTGAACAAGGGATGGATTTTGCAAATCAATTGGGAGTAGAGCAACTGATTATTGAAGGGTATTCCAAGGTAGTGATGGGCTGGTTGAAGAACCCCGAGAATGCTGTGTGGTGCTACAAGAATGAAATTAAAAAGTTAAACTTGCTGGTAAGGAATATGTCGATTTTTATACAGTGGGTGGGGAGATCAGCAAATGCTTTGGCTGATGTGCTAGCCAAGCAAGGGGAAAAAAGGGAAGATTTGTACTGGACTCAGTTGTGATTTCTGTTTTTCACTTTTAATTTCCTTGTAATATTTTGGGGGAGGCTGCAGCCTTTTTTTTTTTTGAAGAGAAAATAAAAGATTTCACTAAACAATAAAAAAAATACAATCAAGAACCGTCAAGGTGACACCTCAGAAAACAAGAAAACAAACAACTAATCTACTGTGAACTGATCATCATTACAAGCTTGACTCTCAAAAACATTCAAGAAACACTCCTTCGAATCAGCCTGAATAACTTAAGCGAAATCAAGGAGAACCAGAATCCAATCCACACTAGATTTCCAATCGAAGCCACCAGCACCTCAATGCTCTTTATTTGTCTTTGAACAACCTTCTAATTCTTTCATTCCAAATGATCCAACGAACAGCAAATGGAAAACCTCTGGATCCCAAAGCATAGCCAATCCCCCTGACAACCCAACAGCATTTAACTCCATCCACTCTTGGCTCTCCACTGATCACTCCCCAAATTACTTTCCTCATACCCATATCAAACTTTTCCAATTTTGTTCCCTGCAGCCAAACAAATTCTGGTCTATGTTTTCCAAGTAAATTCCTCACCAGCCCACACCTTTCTGAGGGTTGTTGTATGAGTTTACAGATCAAAATCAGTTCCTGAACTAATAAAATTATTCTTATTCATCAAAAAAAAAATTTGAAAATAGATAAAAAAAAACATAGAAATCAAGGAGAACTTTTAAATGTTTATTCAGTGCCAGTAGGAGAACACCAAGGGCTAAGCATGGAAGAACACCAAAATATTGCAACATAGTAACTGAGAGTGGCTGAAAGGTCAAAATAGACTGGTCATTAGGATATGACAACCAAGTTATTGAGGGCAATCAAAGGTGGTGAAGATTTTTTTTATCAGCATGGTGATGATTGATTTTGATGACAAATAACCTAGGACCTCAGCCAGACGCATCACTAGATTCAGGAAGCTAGAGAACTGATTAACAAATGAACATCTTGTTTAGATGGCTTGCAATACCTGCTAATTCATTAATTAATTCACTAGTAGCAACGGAAAAGGTGCCTAGATTTGATTTGGATTAAGAGCTCTAACCCCCTGGGGTAAAGATTTTTTTCTTTGTACCTTGAGGTTGTTGGACTATAGTGTGGATTTGAAATGGAGAAGGTATTGAAGCCAGATCTTTTTTGTATTGTTTTCTTCATCTTTCCTTTACTGATCAATAAAAACAATGCCAACAACAGCAGCAATAACAACTATAGAAAATCTTTAGAGGACCTACAGTACGCTGCAATTTCTTTGTTCACTTTGGTATTCTTCTTGATCAAAGATGAGTAGAATGTTTTTTTATTTTTTTTCTCTTTCTGGGACAAATATCCCTTTAAATCTTCTAATGTACAAGGGTTAAACCTCATTATTTTGATTACTAAAGCTAACTTGTAGTAATCTTACGTTTTTCAAAAAAATAAAAAAAAAGTCAATAATTAAACTTTTTTCAGTACATTTCTGATAGATAATGCAATTTAATTAAATATCAAGAGTAAAAAAAAGATGCTAAGAAAAAATAGGAAAGAAGCACAATGAAAACTATGTCCACCCCCATAAACAGGATATACAAAGATATCCCAACAATCCAGGATACCCCCCCCCCCACACACACACAGGAAAAAAGAAAGTTCCTCCAGAAAGAAAAAGAACAGCCATCACCAAAATGAGTATAACCTAACAGCACACCTCCTCTAGCCTTCTCCACTCCACAGAATAACCCCCAACTGAAACAACAGCAAGGTACCCAACTGGAAAACTCCGCAACCATACCCAACACAGAGAAGGAGAAGAGAGATGACCCTTCCAATACATGATAAATCAGGAACCTGGTCTACCCACCATTTTAAGACCATGCACAATATATAAGCATACTTAAAATTGGGGCACCAGATTTTTAAGTTCACAAATTTCTATAAAGTGCTGCAATTTATGGATTACCAACAATATAAAATTTTTGTTATGACAGTATTCTAAATATACCCTCTCTCCATGTAGAAAACATAAGATTGACCGAGCCTTGTCCTGTAAAAGAAATGATCTGTCACTCAAATTCTCATTTCCTTGGGGAAGTAGAAAAATTACAACCAAAATGATTAACCTTTAAGTTGGAAAAGCTAATGAGAGACTTTCTATGGGAACCGAGGGAAGAGAAAAAGGACCATAGGGTTGGGTGGGAGGTAGTGAGTAGAGGTAAGAAATATGGTGGTCTTGGCATTGGGAATAACAGCAAGAGGAACTTGGCTCTCTTAGGGAAGTGGTTGTGGAGATTCCCTATTGAGAAAGAGAAATTGTGGGCAAACGATTGTAGCTACTATCCAGGGGTTTGCGGATAATGGTTGGGATACTGGGATTCTGGCTAGGAGCACAAGAGCTTCACCTTGGAAAGCAATTCAGGCTATCTTGCCTCTGTTCTCTCCCTGGATCAGGTATGATTTACATTCAGGTAACATCACCAAATTTTGGGAACAGGTTTAGGTTGGAGATTCCCCTTTGAAAGACAAATTTCCAACTTTATTTGCTATCTCTGCTTTTAAAAGTGAGCCTATTTCCACTTTCCTTGTACTTTCTAACTCAATTTCAGGCTTTGGGTGGAACTTGGGTTTAAGAAGAGCTATTAGAGACAAAGTTGGACAGTATTGGGCATCATTGATGGGATTTTCCTAGACCTCACACAGTTAGATAGTAGAATTTGGACCCCATCACCCTCAAGATCCTTCACTTGTGCCTCCTTTTTTAAGACACTTACTCGACCAGTTGACTTTTCTGGTTTGTCTTTCCCTGTTAAGGAAGTCTAGTGTCAGTCTATCCCTCCAAAGGTTGGGAGTTTTTGTTGGGAAGTGTTTCTGGAAAGAATCAACACAGATGATTTGATTCAAAGAAAGAGACTTAATAGATGTTTATCTACTTATTGGTGTGCTCTCAGTAAGGCTGATGGTGAACCCAGTTACCACTTATTAATTTCTTGTCAAGTTGCAAAAAGTATTTGGGAATGGTTCACATATTTATTTGGGTGCAGTTGAAATCCCCCATGAGAAGAGAAAGCTTAAGTGGCTGACTAAGGACATTGATGTAAAGTGTATTTGGGTAAAAAGAAGTGCCAACTCATTTGCCGATGGATTAGCTAAGCAAGGGGTGCATAGGGATGCTATTTTCTGGACTCATTTATAACTGTTTTTTCTCTCCTTGATTGCTTATTATGAAACCTATGGGAGGTAAGATGTTTTATCTCCCCTAATATGTATTCTAATCTCTTATTTTAATGAAATGCTTCCTGTTATTGATCAAAAAAAAATCTGATTTTGGAGTTTTTTGGGCTTTCTGTTTCTTGCATAGAACATTCATGTACATCCCCCCACCCCTTTTACTTCAATAAAAGTTACCTTTTCTCCACAAAAAATAAAATAAAATAAATGACCGCAAATTCCTCTAATAGACATTTCTGGGCTGGGCAGTAATATAGGAATAGAAAAGCATATGCTCCATTCACAAATCACAAAATGTCACCAAACACAATGAAACCAGATATTTCTGACTCAGCATTTTGATTAGGATCAACCACTCCAGTCCCATTAATCAAGTCGGAAAACCCCAGATCAAAAACAACACCCATAGAAAATGTACTTGTTTCTTCTAATGGCTCTTACCAAGTTGTGAATCTTGGCATGTTTGCAAGGAGAAGAGAAGTAGAACTAATGAGAAAGTTACAATTATACCTCTGATCCAATACTTTACTCTGCTACCATAGTGTATAGTCCCAATTGTTTCTACCAACAATCTTGAAAGAAATAAGATGGCATGCTAGGATTTTTAACCAAAGTTTGACTATGTAGTCTTTAAGAAAATAAGAAAAAAGAACCTCTGAACAAACTTGCCCTAGTGCAACTCCGGGTGACTAGTTCTTTTTTTTATGACAAGTAACAGAATTTTTTGTTAAAGAGTAATAAGAAGATTACAAGGAGTACAAAAAGAAGGAAATAAAAGATCTTATCTCCACAAAGAACAGTTACAACTTAGCCCAAAACATATTAGTCCTCTCCATCAAATCAGCCATGCTATTAGCCACCCTTTGCACCCATTGAATTTTAATATCCATATCCCAGGACAGCCATTTAAACTTTTTGAACTCATTATTATAAGGGAAAATCTCTTAAAGTACTCCTAAGTTTTAGGAAATTGACTTACTCTACCCCTACTGTTTAGAAATTGTCTTAAAATACCCCCAAGTTTTCTGACAATTGACTAGATCCTCCCCCGCCGTTAGAAATAAACAAGTCATTCCCTTTATTTAGAAGCCACATGATCAGCATTTGTGAATCACCTTGAATGATCAAATTGAGAACATTCAGCCCCTTTGCTCTAGATACACCTTCCAAGACTCCACCACTTTATCTTTTAGGGAATCCCCAAAACCAACCATACCAGACATGCGTGACTAGTCCTTCGATTCCCCATTTAGGAACTTGGGGGTATGCCATATGCATCATATTTCTTTCATTAGGAAATCACCCCCCTTTCCCTCTAAAATAATTACCCATATATCAGGAAAAGATATTTTTAGCATGTCATCTCAGATTCTCATATAAAGCAATAAACCTCTAGAAACAAAGCATATAATCAACAAACCTGATGAGCACGTTTAAAAACGCCAATGTCTTTTCCATATGCAGCAAATGTGTAGTCACGATAGGATGCAAGAGCTCGGATCTTCTTTGGCAATGAAGGTCCTTCATTGAAAATTTTCCACATCAAAATAAATGTTAGTCTACCAAACAAAAATAAAACTCATCCAAAACAAATGAATTAACTGGCAATGCTAATCCAATCTGTTAAATATTACAATCAGATTCACAACCTCTTGTTGTATCTTTCCCTTCAAATTTAATGAATCAATTTTTATGTTCCTGATAAAAAAAAATATTGCAATCATATTGAGAAGGATTGTCCTAGGAACTGTAAGTTTACATGAGTGCTAAACTACACAGGATAGGTCCCCCCCTCCCCTTTTGGGAGATAAATAAAGAAGAAAATATTAGAAAACAACCAGCAGATAATACAGCATTGACAAGGCATCACCCAAAAAACCCAACCCACCCCAACTTCCAGACAAACCCTCAAACAAAACAAAAAATATTAAACTCAAAAACCTGCCACAACCAATCCTGAATTCAAAGCCAGAATCCCTATTTATAGCTTATCTCCCTGCTTATCAAAAATCAAACTATCAGATACCTAACCCCAAACCCTTCACATGCAGAGAGCTCACACCCTTCCTTTAAAACCCTCATCAGTAGGAATCAGAACTTATTTCCATTCACAGTTTTCCTCGTCTTCTTTACCCTTTTAATCATACCAACTCCAAAAAGGTCACCCCTTAGTCTAGCAAAAATCTTTCAAACTGCCACATTCGGTTTTTATTCTGGTGCTTAAATCTCCTCACTGCATTAGGAAGAGTCATATTATTTTTCTTCTCCTCCCCCCCCCCCAATTATCATTAATCCTTTCCAACTCTCTAACTGTGTTCTTCTCAAATACTTGTTATGTTGTAACTCCCTCTCCATTCTCCATTTCACTGATAGAAACACAAGCCTTCAGAAGATGGAAAATCCTTCCCATTCCTCAATGTAATTCCACTGTCGCTTCTTCCACTTCCTTGAAGGCATTCCTCGCAAATTCCTCTCCACCTAAGAAAAACAGACACAAAATTTTATTTACCTCCACCTCTTTGTTGATGACCATCTCGAAGTCAGCTTTTTTTTTCCAATTTCATCATTTCATCCAACAGAATCTCTCCTTCTTCACCTTCCACTTCCTCATGACCTCATCACAATCTTTCTCAATAGGTTTTGTTCTGTAGACTCTTTTTCTCTGGTAGATCCTCATATCCTTCACTCCAAACTCATTTGTTTTTTTTTATTGCAAAACGGTAACTTCATTAATACAACTTAAGAATAACTCTCCAGAGTTAAGTACAGCTGTCAACCCCTAAACAGGGGTTGAGCCCCCAGTAATCTATCTTACAAAACTGCCCAAAACATTCTCTCCCTCAGTCCCTTGTTTAGCCAACGTGTCAACTAAACAACTAGCTGATCTCCATGTCCATTTGAAGCATGCACCGATCTCCCTTGTTGTGTTGAAGATTTACCTTATGGGCTGTTTATAAATCTAGGCTCCCAACTTACCAGATTGCAGCAACTCAATCAACAATTTAGAGTCTCCCTCTATCTCAATTTGGTGTAACCCCAATTGTTTGGCATATCTTACACCTTGAAGCAAGGCCATCACCTCCGCTCTCAATGAGTCCCCAACTCCTATTGGTCCTGAAAACATAGCCACAATTCTGCCATTTTCATCTCTGAATACTCCTCCTATACCTGAATGGCCCGAGTTACCTATAGAACTCCCGTCGAAGTTCAATTTCACTCTTTGTTGTGTTGGTGGGGACCACAATTCCTGCACAATAGGTTTTATGGAAGTTGTAGATGCCACCACTTCCCAATCCCTGTAAATGTCTTCAGCTGAGAAGTCTTTAAACAAATCCAAAGTTTTCAATCATTGAACAGTCATAATGATTATCCTTTCTACAATTGCCTCCTTGGATTTCTCCACTCCTTTAAAGATTCTATTGTTCCTTTCTTCCCAAACTGACCATAAGATAGCTCCTCTTGTGGCTCTCCACGTTATTCTTCAACGTCTCTTCGGTTTCCTGAAAAAGCTTGGGTCAAAAAGGCTTGCCACATCTGGGGGAGGTGTCCACCTGCAACCAAAGATAGAAGAGAACCAGGCCTAAATAAAGCACACAAATGGACAAGAAATTAATAGGGGTGTGATTGTCTCACCAAAGCCCAAGCAGAGGCTACAAACATGGGGTGATAGGCATACATTTGGCCTTTTTCTCTGCAACATATCTAGAGTATCAATTTTTTGGAGAACCACCTCACAACAAAAAGCCCGAATTTTTGGGGGTACAGGCTAACACCAAATCTCCTTTGAAGGAAAGCTCCTTGCAGGGTTTGATGAATGAAAGAGGACATCAAAGGAGGAACAAGTGAACATGCCAAATGGGGAAGGTTTCCAAATTCTACTGTCCAAACAAGATTGATCCAGGTAGGCTGACCTAAGAGTTATCAGTAAAAACTGAAGATATCACTTTTCTTTTATTTTCTGATAGTGAATAAATAGAAGGGAACCTTTCACTAAGGGGAACGTCTCCAACCCAAACATCTTCCCAAAACAACACTTTATTTCCTGCACAAGCATCAAATTTGACGTAAGGAGGTAATGAAGGTAAAATACCATGAATAGCTTTCTAGGGAGAGCATCGATAAGCCCTGGGTCAACTCCTGCATCCCAACCATTGTCCACCAATCCATGAATGCTAATAATCACTCTATGCCAAAGTCTATCCTATTCCAACGGCAATATCCATAACCATTTCCCCAATAATGTTGTGTTTCTTAGCCTATGATTTCCTATTCCTAGGCCCCCTTCATCTCTACTTCTAGAAATCACCTCCCACTTCACTAGGTGGTCTCTTTTGGTGTCTCCCGGTTCCTAAAGGAAGTTCCTCATAATCTTCTCTAGCTGGTCTGCCACTTTCACCGGTATCCTAAAGGTAGATAGGAATTACACTGGTAAGTTAGCCGAAGTTGACTTTATTAGGGTTATCCTACCTCCCAAAGAAATGTAGTTTCTCTTCCAATTCGCAAGTCTCTTCGTAAATCTCTCAATCACTGGATACTAGAAGCTATCTATATTAGGATTTCCTCCCAATGGTAGTCTCAAATATTGTAATGGCCAATCCCCTACTTCACACCCCAATAGTCCAGCTAGCCGAATCACCTCTTCACTCCCTAAAGTTACTCCTACCACACAACTCTTGCCCCAATTAATCTTAAGGTTGGAGATCCTCTCAAATTTATGGACTATCCTTTTTAGGTTCATAAGCTCTTCTGTTTTCCCTTCACAAAACAAAATAAAATCATCTGCAAATTGTAGGTGTGTAACCACCACTTCATCCCTTCCAATTCTCTAGCCTCTAACCATATTGTTGGCATCTGCACTTATGATCAACTCACTCAACACATCAGTTACCAGAGTAAAAAAGGAAGGGGGATAGAGGACCTCCTTGTCTAAGGCCCCTTTTGGCAGGAAAAAAAAACTCTTGCTACTCCATTTACCAGAATTGAAAAATGACATGAAGAAATGCAACCCTTCACCCATTTACACCCTCTCTCTCCGAAACCCCTACACAAGAATTTCCAACAAAAACTTCCAATCCACCATGTCGTAAGCTTTCTCTAAGTCTAACTTGCAAACCAGTTCCTTTTGCTTTTTCCTTCTTCTAAACTCTACACATTCATTGGCAATGAGAATTTGATCCATTATTTGTCTCCCAAACACAAAAGCCCCTTGATTTGGAGAAATCATCGAGGGAAGAACATATTTTATTCTTAGGGATAACACCTTGGAAATGATTTTGTACGTGCTTCCTATCAAACTTATGGGCCTAAAATCCTTCGGCTAGATTGCATCTACTTTCTTTGGCATCAAAGCGATGAAAGTTGCATTTGCACCTAAGTTAAATTTGCCCCTCTCATAGAACTCATCAAAAACCTCCATCAAGTCACCCCCAATTATTTCCCAACAATCTTGATAGAAAGCCATTGCAAAACCATCAGGTCCTGGGGCTTTAGATCTCTCCATCGAGAAGACTGCATTTTTCACTTCCTGAACCTCAAATTTACTTTCCAAGGAATCCAACAACTCTCTATTTCCAACCCTCCAGTCTAGGCCCTCTAAGTTTTCTCTTGACCTCCTTGGATCCTCATAAAGTCTTTTGAAGTGATTCACAAAGGCTTGGGCTATGTCCTCATCTCTTGTCAATACTTGCCCATTCCATTCCAATTTCAACGCTGAGTTTTTCATCTTTCTCCCATTTGCCAACATATGGAAAAAACTAGTATTGTTATCCCCTTCCCTGAGCCATTGACATCTAGATTTTTGTCTCCACATAACCTCCTCTTTTCTTAGAATGTCTTCCAGATCCTTTTTCAACCCCCAGCTTTCTTTCCTCTCTTCTGAACTCAAACTTCTCTAAGCTTCCTCACCATCTATCTCCTCTATTCTATTAAGAATTTCTTGTTTTCTTTCTTCAATATTTCCAAAACTCTCTTTATTCCACATCTTAATTCTTGCTTTCAACAATTGCAATTTATAATAGAATCTATAACCCTTCCATTTGAAATCCACTTGATCTTCCTCCCACCACTCCTTCACCTTTGGAAAGAATTCAGGATGCAAAAGTCACATGTTCTCAAATCTAAAAGGGCAGGGGCCACCCCCTATCCTCTCTTGGGTCAAACTTATTGGGCAGTGGTCTGAAACAGGTCTTGGTAGTGTTGTAACTACTAATCCCTACCAAGCCACTTCCCGATCAGTTGTGAATAGGAATCTAACTTATAGCAAGTGGAGCCTCTTAAAAATTTGACCAAGTATAATTTTCCCTCTGAATAGGTAAATCCCGCAACTCAAAGGTCTCTATGAAGAGGTTAAACTTCCTCATACTCGTTGTAACCCAGTGATTTGGGTTGTTTGATTCACTCAAAAAACTTATGACATTAAAATCTCCTCCCATAGACCTCTCACTACTTATAACTCCTCCCAAAGTCCCTCTCTTTCCTTACAAGAGGTGGGTCCATACACATTATTTAAAACCCACTCCTAG